TCTAGAGTCATCTAGCGACTATAGGTTTGTAACTGAACGCCGCTATTTGCAATAGCATTCGGGAAATTTGCCTTCAATTGAATGGAGTGCTGTCCAAAGTATTAGTAGGTACAGTACATGGTTCTTCTCTTCTTGCATCTGGTCGAGGGTGACATTGCCTGCCCACCGAAACTGAAAAGCAACTTCTGACGCGCGTTCATCTTTTAGCCCGTGTTTTTGTTTTTACTCTTAGATGGTATTAGCTTTGGATGACGCGAGCAAACGATCAGTAAACCAGAGGCGGCAGGATAACCCTCCGCGGGCATAAAACAAGCAGGTCCCAGATCATCCCAGAGAAACTGCCAGGTCTTTATTCAGGGTGTTCTCCATGTTGTTTTTTTTTGCTTTTTTTCTCTTTTCGATAGTTATTTTCCGATTTTTTTCTTCGACTATAGGTTCCTAATTGAGCGCCTCTATCCATATATCAGGTTGGCGGGGAAAGTTCTGTCACATTTTTCAAATTAGGCTTTCTTTTTATAGAGAGGCGTGTAAGATCAAAATTGTACAGCAATGTTACTGCGGGGTTCTTGCCAGTTTTTGAGCACCTCATGGATGCCATCGCTTCACAATGCAGGGAGGCGCGACGCAAAGTTGGACATCATCTCAATCTTGACTTGAACTCGGGTTATGGAGGTTTTCTCGTCCACATAACGATTGAGTACGGGAGGCAACTAGCAGTTAGAAGGAGCAATGTCTGTGCTACACCAGTGCAAGGGGAGAGCCATCCAGCTCTATTGCATGAGGTACGGCTCGAACTTTTTTGGACGGAGTGCGCTGCACTATCATGATGAGGGCGGGCTGTGCGGACAAATTTTTCCCTCTGATCGACGGTTCGCTTCAGATCTCGTAGCTGCTTTGCGCACGGGTTGACCGAGGAAGCAGCTTCTTCATCCAGCAGTTTCACGACCCGCAGCTCCCTCAATCTGAGTTCACAGGTAACGTCATCAAAACTGTAGGCTCCCGCTTTGAAGCATTATCGTCATGGACAGGGTACAGCATTGTGATGTGTGAAATGGTGGTGTCAGTGCGACCCACCTCCCCGAAACGAGGTCCCGGTGCGACCCACCACCCCCTCCCACGGTCACTTCCGGCCCTAAATGTTGGAACTAACGAGAAGGACAGGTGAGATTTGCCTGCTAGCCGACCGAGGGAGCCTATTGTCGCTTCAGTACACCTGCTAACCGAGAAGCCCGCGAGGAAGGCTTCTCGGTTAGCAGGTGTACTGGAATCCTCGGAAATCATCAAATAAATGCAATATAAGTAAAATCCCTACCCTACCCTCAAATCACTAGGTGCTTGTACAAGACATATCCGGCCATCTCAATTTTGGTAAGTGAAAATATAAACTATTACATGAACAACCTACATCTTTTTGATATAAACACCTAAATAAAAACAAAATAATAATTACATACAAATATTGAATGAATTAGTCCTAGATTACCTATATTACAATGAAAAGCTGGGACATCGACGATACTCTGCCTATAAATCCCTAGGGAAGGAGAGCAGCCCCTGAACGTGGCCCGAATTGCGATCCGAGCGCAAGATGGCGCTGGAGCGTTGACTGTTGACGAGGGGGAATCGCGGTGCGTTTTCCGAGCTTAATCACCTTTTCAGGAGAAGGGCTCATGGGAAACGGAAGGCAACATGTACACGTCATCTTTATACTGTTCCGTTTTCTACCTACTCGCAATCTGTATCTTCCCCGTTCATGAAATATTTCGGATGGGTTACGGATGGGTTAGGGGTAAATCGCGGGCTGGTTTTTATGCTTCATACGAGAATAACTTCTTTCAAACGCAATCTTTTGCAAAACTAAAAACACCATCAGAACGCCCAGTATTTTCTCTTTCCAACAAGCTCTACAGTTCTCCTGAAGACCCGCTGAGTTTAGAAGATATTTCAGATGGGTTATCCTCGCGCGAGGTTCTTAGCCACACAAAAGCTTGACTCTTTCTGTGAAATTGTAAGGATACTCAGTCGCGAACTTCAGTATGCCCTTGAAAACAAATATTTCCGTCGAACTCCTCAAAACAAGTATTTCCGTTGAACTGAGTCAAAGCATAATTTGGTTATCATCGATCGATTTGGTCCGAGTGTGCGCCGTGCATTACGCTTCTACGCAGAGGTGGTGGAAAGGTGTAACTTCTGATTTTAGGTGATTTTGGCCACCATGCTTTATTTGAGATGTATTATTTAGTCATCTACATACTTACGAGCCCATGCTAACTATTGAAATTGCTAGTCAATTGATATTGATATTTTGTAGTCTTCCTTACATTCGGGTCTCTGCTGCTTCCCGTCCGCTCCACCAAACTTAGCGATGACTTTTTGTGCTGTTTGGTGCTCACCGACCCTGCGTTTACGACCCCCCCCCGGGCCCACCAAACAAGACCCCCCTCCCTCATAGGTTCTACACACAACGATTGTGGCACCTGCCCGCTTCACCAAGCGAGTAGGAATACTTGGTTGTTGGAAGGTAGTCCGATTATTAAGAGCATCGTCATTTAGCTCCATTGTTTTGGCAGCTGCAGCTATCACGGGCGTCAGAGTGGTGGAAGAAAGAGCTTGAGTAAGCGTCTGGAGGGGTCGGTGCCGTGGTAGCCGTGATGAAATTCTTCTCCATATTGCGGAAGAAGAAGCAGAAGTCAAGCGAGTGGTACTAGTAGAAAGTCCATTCCTTGATGTATAACTGCTCACATTACCGGTTACCCCTCTCAGGTAATGGGCAAGTATTTGAGTTCGAAAAAGTGTTACAGAACTTTCCCGCCAACCTAATACAGTCGCGGGGTTTCTCTTCAAGCATGAAAAAAAGTTTAGGTCTCGGTGAGATCGCAGCGTACGCGATACTGCTCTCACTCAGGCAGGCTGGCGGGGGCCTCGCCTTCATTCCCCCCAAAACCCCCCCCCATAAAAACCAACCCAACTAAAGGGGGGGGATATTTCCGCTTCGCCCGTTTGCTCCCTCATGTTTCGTCTTGCCTGCTGTCTCCACCACACACCTCTCGCGTCCGCGCACCTCCCCGCAACACAACCACCCCACGACACTGTCAAGTCGGTCTACGATGGGGCATGCCGGGTAGGTGCAAGGCACAAGAAATAAGGAGCACACTTGACCTATGCGAAATCCGCCCATAGTGGGAGGGAGCTATGCGGCCAAAGTTCACGCTCCCCGCGCCCTACTTGCTCGGACCAAAAATAATAAATTTCATCCCGCAAACAGCTAAGAGATCGGTAAAAAAGGGAATAAGCCCCCTGTTAGCAAAGGTTGCCCCGGACTAACCTGGTGAGGACACCTCAAAATGAAGCGAGGCGCACTTGCGATGGGCGCTGCTTCTCCCCAAACTGCTACTTAACTCAGTTCGCGAGAGTATCAGATCATTCGCAAAAAACTCGTATGCAAGAAAGGGCAAATATGGTTGGGCACGCCTGGAAAGTATTTCTGCAACCTCTCCGCCCTGCAACTGGGTGGCGGGCTGGAGCCTTAGTCTTAAGCCGCAAAGAATAACAAGGGTGAAAGATTAAACAGTCTTCTTCAGTTTAATTCACCATCCTTTTGTGGGAGTGCAGCAACGCATCTCTACTTCCACTTTCAGAATCCGTAGTCCTTCAATGGATGCCGGGATGTGGCCTATTTATACAACTGCGTTCTGCGGAGCGCCAGCCCTCCCGGATGATGGCCCGGATGCACGTCAGATGTTCTTATGCATCCCAGACGAATCCTGTAACCAGTTTACCGGTCCGGGGAGGGTAGTAAGGCTATGTTTGCTGGGGTGGTGTCAACCTGGGATTCGAACCCAGGGAAACCGCCGTGAGTGGCTAGAGTGCGCCATTGACTACACAACCTCTGCCTTCAGCTCGAAGGCCCCACATCAAAAATTTGCTAGCGCGTTTTCAGGAACACTCCAAATACCAGGAAGAAAACGTGATTAACACGGATTTACCGGGGTCAGCGAGGGCTAGCTGATTGAGAAAGCGGGGCACACATGTTGTGGGCGGGAAATGCTCCGAGGCGGAGCCAGACAGAAAATCCGTAAAACCTCAGAGCGCTCCAGACAGCGGAAAAAGTGTATTAAAGTCATCGAGGCAGGTCTCGCCGAGTCAAGATAGGGCATATGTGTTCGTGGGCCGGGGTCTACCACTGTGGGTGGGAGCTGACCAAAAACCTGCAGAATGGTTCCAGGAGCACTGGCCAGACACCAGGAACAAGGGATTTACCAAGGTCAGCGAGGACTAGCCGGTGAGAATGGGGTACTCTGCACACATACAGTATGAACGGAGCCTGCCCTTATGGGCGGAGTCCGGACCAAAAAGTCTCCAAAATGTTCACGTAGTGTGCGTAAGAGTGTCGTGGTAAACTACGACGTGCGATATTCCATTCTGTGGCTTAGCTTGTCAGTGTAATGTTGGTATACAGTATCGCAACACGTATATAAGTGTCGTCTGATCAATTGCGAATAGTTTTTGGGAGGAAATAAAGTAAAAAACAACCACCGTGTCATAGAGCACTCCAGACACCGTCAACATGTGAGCAGGGATGTGCAGGAGCCGAACTGTTGAATGAGATAGACACCCCCATTTCGGGTGGATCATGCATCGAAATGAGCGGAGAGAGAGTGAAGAATTGACGACTCGGTTGCGGAGCAGCACTGGCACCAAGGACAAGAGTATTGAGTTCAAAAATATGTGAAAGAAGGTATGCGCGGCGAAGCCTCACCCGCCCGGCGCATCCGGGACTTATCACACGAGGAGGCGCACCTGAAGATATGGTGTGCCATATCTAGTTTTGGCACGATTTATTTTCCGAGGGTTTACTAGAAATAGTGACTACTTCCTAGTGACAGTAGTCACCACTCTATAGAAACACTCCTAGCGAATGACTCCTTAGACAGCATCGTATGAGGGGAGCTTGAAATTTACACAGACAACACGAAATTATGTGATTCCAGATACGAGTCATGATGGTGGCACGAGTGAAAGCAGACTCTCGGGTTGTCCGAAGTGAGCCGCCCACGTACGTGTCCATAAATGTGAGTTTGACAATTCGAGAATGTTGCTGATATTAAGAAAAGGCAAAGAAGTCTTCAGGAAGAAAGTGAGCACTCAGAAGTAGAAGAACAGGAGGAAGAATCTGAAGGGAAAGTCGGTAAATTTGTGGCCTCTAAAAGGAGTCACGAAGAGGCGCCCACGCAAAAACCGCGCTATGTATGAGCTTTGCAATTTTTGACTACTGTCTTGGTATACAGTAATAATGTTTAATACCTTCAAGCCTCGAGAAGATACATTCACACGAACAGTCTCTGCTCAGTCCCTTCCTGTGAGCGATCGTCTCGAAGAGCTCTCACAAATGACAGTATATGATAGGACCCTCCATATGCTCGCAGTAGATCCCATCTACCAAAAAGAGGTGAGCCTTTGTCTCTTTCTTCTCTTCCTTTGCAAGCCATCGCCCATATCAGAAGGCAAAATGGGGCACCGGCGATGGGTGCGTGCCGTTCTCTTTTGCATACAGTTGATACCGCAATCAGCCGGATCGCAGTCAGCGATCTCCACCTGCGGCTTCTCACCATTGGTTGTTTCCTTTCTGCATCGATCACTACACGATCACCAATGGTGAAGCGAGGCAGCCGGAGGCGAGCTCATCCCTCCCTCCTTCCGGTTGCCTCGCTTAGACGAAAAAGAGGAAAGAGAGACTCATATTTGTAAAATCGCGGTCACGCCGTCCCCGAGTGACCGCGATTTTACAAAATATGAGCCTCTCTTTCCTGTTTTCGTCCAAACCTTCGCAGCCATCGTTGCTCTTGCAGCTATACCCTTTTTTGCCTTCAAGTATGGACTATGCTTCCTGCGAACGGAACCGAGAATTAAAAGCCGTCCACATGGAAATCGAGGCATGACCTTGAGGATTTCGATGACGTGATATGCATCGTGCCTAGACATCAAAGTGCTCTTTTTCCATAAGGGCACCTGTGAAATTTCTAGAACGATTTAAATTAGGAGTAATCTGAATCAGCATGTTTACAGGTAGCACTCGGGAAACGAATAGGTTTTTATCGACTAGGCAAAGAGCTTGGTGCCGGAAATTTCTCCAAAGTGAAGTTAGGGATACATGTAATTACCAAAGGTAAGTATCTGTTAATATACATCTATAGGGCAAAAAAAAGCTATTTGTACTACTATGAGGGTGGATGCGTCACAAGGTGTGGGGTAACTATAGAAAAAAGTGTCCTGTCCTGATGTAGCATACCCCTCCAAAGTTGGTATTCTCCCACTCCCTGAAGACCTAACTGAGCTCGGCAGTGAGAAGAATCACCCTTGACGGGTGGTGGATAAAAAGAAGGATAAAAAAGGGCTCCCTTCTGCTCATACAGAATACCTCAGAAGCATACCACCCTTGGTCGGCAAATCACGTCCCGTATCACTGCAAGTGACGTAATCTGTGTAGGGTGTTAGTGCATAATTGGAACAAACCAGTACAGTTTCTCTGAGCAATCGTTAGGAGGTGACGGAAAGAGAAGCATGACGAGGCAGCACCCATGACTTCATGCAGTCTATCAGTTATGATATCATACAATACAGTGCGTAACAAAAGTATGTGGACACCTCAAATTTTTGTTCCTGCAAAATTGCCTTTGAATTTTGCGATATGAGACCTTTATTGTTGAATTCCTCATAAGCGAAAACATAGGAATACACTACTTCTGAGCACTTTGTGAACTACTGTACAATTATTTATTGTTTTGAAAAAGTTTCTTAATAACAAAAGTATGTGGACACTTAACAAAAAAAAAGTATCATGAAAATTAGAAGCTGGTATTTCTCCAGCGTTCACTATTACTTCGAACATTCTGTCTGGCATGCTGTGGACAAGATTTGTCATGGTATCTTCGTCGATTTCCTCCCATGCAGCAACTACCGCCTCCTTCAGGTCTCGCACGCTGTTGTACTGCCGACTGTTCATGTAGATTCGTCGAACCATGATCCCCACAGGTTTTCGATTGGGTTGCAGTCAGGAGAACATGCCGGCCAATCCATCACTTTGATACCATTGCGTTGGAGCCATTTTATAGTAGAATTTGAAACATGCACGGCGGCGTTGTCCTGCTGCAGCACATGTGTCCTGCGTCGTGGCCCACTCAGAAAAGGCAAGAGGTTAGACTCAAGCACTCCTTGGTATTCCTGACTGTTCATACGGCACGATGGGAAGGCAAGCTCCAACTTTCCGCTGCTTCCAAAACCACCCCATACCATCAAAGAGCCGCCTCCGAAATTTCGCCTCGAGAACACCAACGGATCGCGACGAAGGTCTCTCCAGTAGTGCCGATATCCATATGAACCTTGCTTCCATCGGTGAAGACAACCTAAGAGAAATGCGCATAAGATGTTGTCTTTCTGATTTTACAAATTTCTCAAAAAACTTCACCTTGTCCCACGACGTCGCCATGTTTGCACGCGCAAAGTTCAGTCTCGCCAGCTGGTGTTGGGCAGTCAGGCGAGGAGCTTTCTTCATGGTCTCTCGTGTGATATGCTCATTTGATCGAATATAGCGCATATCGTCATTTTTGAGACCGGTAGATTCATTGCAGCATGGATCTGTCTCACAGAAAGGGGAAGTTCGAGGCTATTCTTCTGATGTCTTTTGCGGACAAAGATCGTGGGCCCCGAAATAGGTGCTGAATGGTAGCCATCAGGATTCTGGAGGTATTTACCAACGCACGTCGCCGAACGTCCGAGCTGTCTTGCAATTTCTCTATTCGAGTGTCCAGCAGCAGCTCGAATCTGAGCTTGTTCTTCTTCGGAGAGAGTACTGCCACGACGAGGCATGAGTACAGGTTAATGGGGAGTAGAGACGATAAAAATGGATTGCAGATTTGGAGCCAAACTTTGGACTTTCTCAGGTGTCCACATACTTTTGGTACAAACAAGGAAATTCTATTCAAAAATATGTTATGAAAGTGAAGCTTAGTTATCGCTCGAGTGCCCAATTATAGGGTTATCGGCCACGAGGAATCGATTGAGGAAGTATATGGGGAGTAGTCGATCAAGAAAGTCTTTAATTACATTTTAAAATCAGATTTTGAAGTGTCCACATACTTTTGTTACGCACTGTAGTGATTCTGACGAGTTATCCTACTTTGTGGACTGGCACCATTACAGCCATTATTCCTGCAAAAGATAGGACATGTGAAGAGCGTGGACTGCCAGGGCGGTTTTTTGCACCAATGATCCCATCCTGAACCCCAGTAATTAGCGGGAGAACTATTCTGGGTGTGATTCAACTTACGCCCCTTTACACTCCCTACCGTTTGCAGGGATCATGACTATAAGTGTAGTCGATAGATCACGATGAGTGATCGTAGTCATCGAAGCACAGTTCGACCAAGGTTTTTCGTTCCGAATGAGATCCCAATTTGCAGGAGGGAAACAGCTACAACGAGAGTAAATAGTAACTATCATGCTCAATGTGAAAGCTCCTAACGGAATAGCTGTTGAAACGATTTGGTTCACGAGCTATCGAAAAAAAATTGAGGTGGCGCAGTTTTCATGAAGCAGGCTATTACTCCACTTATAAGAGGCCCGTCATTGTCAAGGAATACATTTCATCGCTTCCAGACCGATGAGGTGGCGCGAGTATAAAAAGCAAGTGGTGGTGACGAAACGCCATGGTCACTTTCATGAGTCTGGCAAGACCAGCACGGAGTCACCCTGACCGTGGTTCAAACGCTGGTGTGGCTGTTTTCGCGAATGAGTGCTGACCCTGTCAGGTGCTCGCTAGTTCGAATTAGGCAAGGTAAGAGGTACCTGCAAGGACAAGCGCACTAACACTTTTGTCCGCCTCCCGCCTCCGTCCTCACTCACTATCTAGACCATATCGGATCGCCCGCCTTCGGCGGGCGATCCTCCTTATGCGTGTGAAGTGGGTCCCCGGCCATCCAAACTGAGGGCCAGTCGGATCGCCTTCGGCGGGCGATCCTCCTTATGCGTGTGAAGTGGGTCCCCGGCCATCCAAACTGAGGGCCAGTCGGATCGCCCGCCTTCGGCGGGCGATCCTCCTTATGCGTGTGATCCCTCCATCGGCACATTAAATTTTTTTGCAGTTCCAGAACATTACCCTTTCACATTTGGTATATACCCCCCACCCAGTGGACTGTGACAAAGGCAAGGAGTGGGAAGTGGGTATTGGATGCTTCAGATGAACTGAAGTGGAAGTATATGTGTATTCGAGTTGTTGTAGAATAAATAGCAGGTAAATAAACAAATAAATAAATGCAAAAATTGGTAGTAGTTATGAATTTTCGATTATGACCTCATATTCACTGCTATTCTCACTTGCCTTGCGACTATATTATGAACTTTTGCAGCAGGCGCCGCCGACTCGGCGCACATCTCATTCGCTGGGGTGTCTTTTCACTATATACCATTTTCACTTTAAATCGGACACTTTTCAAACCAAATCGGACACTTTTCAAACCAAATCGGACACTTTTCAAACCAAATCGGACACTTTTCAAACCAAATCGGACACTTTTCAAATCCAAATCGGACACTTTTCAAATCAAATCGGACACACCCCTTACAATTAGGTGGTTGATAACTAGACCACACTAGGTACTGTTGCAAGCCCCGCCCCATTATCCCCGCCCACTTCTCAGCGCGGACAGGGTTTTCCGAGATGCTTCATGAAATCTGCTCCCTCGACTTTTTTTCGTTTTTGCCCTTTGCACACACACTTCAACTGAAAAAGATTGATACCTATACAGATCTGACTCCGCCCACTTAACAATGAAGTTACGTAAGTTCTGAATTTTTATAACTTTTTTCGACGTAGTTCTTTTCACATCCAATCTTCACAAAACGAATAACCATGCACAGCACACCAGGCCCCGCCCCTCTGACCCCGCCCACTTGTGTTTATCGCGGAATTTTGGTTTTTCTTCCGGATTTTCGCTTTTTTAGGCTTTAGCGATTGGCTCCGCCCACTTAACAATGAAGTTACGTAAGTTCTGAATTTTTATAACTTTTTTCGACGTAGTTCTTTTCACATCCAATCTTCACAAAACGAATAACCATGCACAGCACACCAGGCCCCGCCCCTCTGACCCCGCCCACTTGTGTTTATCGCGGAATTTTGGTTTTTCTT